CAATTTTTCGATCTTTTTCATCGTGTTGTGATGACGTCACATACGCGATTTCGTCGACCGCGCTTTTGTGGAACGCGCTTTTGACGGGTCACGATAAAATGCACATGATCTTTTATAGTAAAGCTTCCTTTGTCTTGTTAGTCTTTCTGGAAAGAGTCAAAATCTACATCTTTTTACTCCGTTCTACTGGAAGTATTACATTTCCAGAGATTTTGCAAAAGGAGATATTGTGTTAAAAGAAGCAATATTCCACAAATATAATTTCTCAATAATGTAAATCAATTTGTATCGCTCGTTTCAGGTGTCACGTTTTGTTCTCAACTATCATAAACGAGGAGCAAGGACAACCCTCAAGGAAACATGCTCTGTTGATGGAAGCAATGTATAAGAAGCCCCACTTCTGCATGCCCAAGATAAATTAGGGATTTTTCCTGCAGCCTCTAATTAGCATGAGTGTATATTTTCCCAATAATGTTTAGATTGACATGTTAATCATACATGTGGGGCTCAGATTATATTATCAGAAGCAAATGTTTTTTGATGATCATACAGGCATAGCTCACAGAAAGTGAATAACAACATCTTATCACAAGAGGATTTTAGTATAAGACCATACACTTTTTAACAGTTTGGAAAGTCTAATTTATAAACTAAGTTGCAACATTTTGATGCATTCCAATTTGTATGAATGGGTATCTTCTATTTTCGTAATTTTTGAAAGAAGGCACATTTGAGCAAATCTTTTGCCACTGTTCCTTAGTCCCTTGCATACTTAACAAAGTTTCTTGGATTATGTTGTCTTCTAATTTTCTTTTAACAAAACTTGTGGGTCAATCTTCCATCTTGCTTTAAGACCGTATGTAATTATTACTTTTAATCACTAAATTTAGAAAAGTTTATATGAGCTTTCAAGTGATGGCACCCTTCCCTATATGCTGGCAGGCAAGAGTACCTGGGATTTATTCATCTAAGAAAGGGTTTTTTTAAAAAGTTAAAGTTCTGCAGGTGATATTTCCATTGATTTTAAAAATTACATTCAGGATCTAGGACTGTTCATCTCGTACCCTTGGCCGCACCTGCTTCGCCACCAGAGTTCCACCTCTGGAACCCGCCACCAGATCTCACAGATAGTAAACATGGCTAATTTGGAAAGCAAAGTAGGATGGTGTTGGTATGTAGAAAGGAGACAACCAGGAGAGCTCACAGATACTAAACATGGCTAATTTTGAAAGCAAAACCAGATGGTGTTGGTATGTGGTATTTCGGCGAATGGGACATGGCAAAGGGACTGGGATGGAGGGACTGGGGCTTATTGGCCATGGCGAACAACTAGGGGGGTGTCAGCGGAGGAGAAACATTAGGAGCCAATGGCGGAGGCACAACCCCGATGGTGAAACAGGCGCGGCCAAGGGTATGAGGTGAACAGCCCCATTCCGTTACATTCAGGTGTTGTGTTTGCAGATGTTAGCTTCTCCTGTAAGGAGTTGCAGTAGTGCAGGGATGTCAAACTTGCGCCATCATGTGGCATATCACAATTTTTCCCCTTCGCTTAACCAGACGTGGGCATGGCCAGTGTGTGACACATCTGGGTTGCAGGCCATGAGTTTGACACCCCTGCAGTAGTGTATTGTACAAAATATTAATTTGTGGCTGGTTAATCAATTCATCAGAATACATGACAGAACATTTTCTAGCTGTTATTTTAAATGCTAAATTAACATCAGAAACTTTTATGACAGACTGAGTAGAAGTCAACATGCTGGCCAAAATTTGTATTACATTCTGATGTCTGTGTTTACTTAGTAGAGAAACAAAACAATACAGATTACTAATCTATCATGCTTTAAAACTGATAATATATAGTTCAGTAAACATATATGCCATTAGTCAATAATATTTTGATACAACTAAGTGATTCTCATGTTTTCATATAATTTTAATAAGGGATAGTTTTACCTACACAATTAGTATATTTTCCTAAGAAAGGCATTCCCCTTTTTTGGACTAATACAAGTTGTCCTCGACTTATAAACATAATTGACCATAAAAATTCTGTTGCTAAGCAAGACATTTGCTAAGTGAATTTTGCTCTATTTTTTTACCTTTCTTGCCACAGTTCTTATGTGCATCATTGCAGGTGTTAACTTAGTAACTCTGATGTTAAGTGAATCTGGCTTCCACATTGACTTTGCTTGTCAGAAGGTTGCAAAAGGGGATCACATGACCCTGAGACCCTGCAACTGTCATAAATATGAACAGCTGCCAAGCATCTGAATTTTGAACACATGATCAAAGGGATGCTGCAAAGGTCATTAGTCACATTTTTCAGTGCTGCTGTAACTTCGAATGGTTACTAAACAAACTGTTCTAAGTCGAGAACTACCTGTACACTATTGATGGTTAAACTCCATGCTGAGATAGTATTAATTAATCCTTTCAAGAAAACAACTATCAAGGCTTTTTTCTTATTCTATATGCTTATTACAAAATGTTATCATGAAATTCCTCTGCTAGTTCAGGCCTAAAATTGTTTCCATCCATGCTCAAGAGTCATGTAACTCTAGTTTACCTACTAAACTGAAATCCAAATTTTTTATCAATAGTTTTAAATTATATAATTATTTTTTAAATTGCCCAATGTCACTAGGGTGAGATGGCGTAGAGAAATTAATTAATTAAATATAATGTAAGACTAGAATTTACGATCACAAAATAGTATAGTTAAATTTCAGCATAAACGATGATTCTTTACATCCCATGAGAGTATTGCCACCACTGGTGATCTTCTAAACTTCTAAAGCCAACAAGCTATCTTAGCTTTAGATAGAAAGCTCCTTTTGAGGGACATATTTTTCCCTATGAACCTTCCATAGACTGGAAGCCCCAACTGAGATAATTCTTTTCTGTGATAGCTTGCTTGTAAAATTTAAATCACAATTTCCTATTCTCATACAAAAGATTTGAAGGGGGAGGGGGGGGGACAAAAGCTAATGCAACTAGTTTATTGCTATGAAGATTTCTGAGGGTGTTTGCGCCTCTGTTGCTGATTATGCTTATTTGACCTCCATACTGTATAAATAACATGTGGAATTCTGGTAGATCTATTTTGAGACAGAAAGAGAGGGAAAAATGACTTGTCAGTTAGCCTTCCTAGGGTTACTAGAGATTACCAGTTCTTGTTACAATATGCACTCCCTCAGACCATCCCAAGAACTAGTTGTACTACCTCGCTTTTACCAGCGAATATAGATTGGGTATTGAATAGATCAGGCCTGCACAACTTGTGGATGAAAAAGGGCCACACTGATAAATTTAAAATTATCACAGGCCGCAAAGTAATACCTGGCATGTCGATCAGCTGTTTGGTGGCTAGTGGAACGCTGGCAACACTGGAGCTGGTGATGTCGGTGAGGCCTGGAGGCATTGGAGGCGCTTGGCACAGTTTCTTATGGGCAGCAGAAGCAGATCCTTCCTGGTGGTGGCGACATCTGGTGGTGAATTTATTGAGTTTTTTAAAAACACTGGTGGGCTGCACAGGGCAATTTGGTGGGCCATGTGTTGCCCAATGGGTCATATGCTGTGCAAGCCCAGAACAGACTTTGTTCAAGATCCATACCCCTAGAGGATATGGATTTGTTAATTAGTCCCCACCTCGAAAATTTCACATTTCTGGTTCACTAGTAAAAGGCTTTCTCCTTCCAATATAAATAATGTACAAGAAGGATAAAATACCCATTCTAGTGTTGCTTAAATTATTTTCTTCCTTAAGGCAAGTCAACTGAAATCTTCAAAAGTAATGGATAAGGTTATCTTGGTTATCATTTTGGGCATATAATATTCTTTGCATTAATTTTTCCTATGGGTCCACTCACATTTAAGAATACTGATTCTCTTTCAGGTATCTAGGGTGTGTTTTCACTTATTCTGTCTAATTACCACCAGTGGTGATCTTCTAAAGCCAATAACTTAAGCAACTTCTTTAACTTTAAAAAGGTATCTTAGCTAAATTAGCTGAGGCAGCATAACTCTTTAGTGTACCATTTAACAATGGCTGAGTTCATATGTCTTATTAAGTTATAAGCTTATTTCAAAGTAATTCCACCTCCGACTTTGAATGGGCTTGTAAACCCATTTATTTAATCTAATGAACTGTGGTTTATTCAATGACAATTAACAATTAACAATGACATTGTTAAGCAAACAATGGCTTAGTGCATTATATAAACAAGCCAAGAATGCATTCTGGTCAAATTCTCCTAGTTGACATCTCTTGGTAACATTTGTTATTACTTTATTTATTTATTAAATTTATATGCTACCTATTTGCAGTCACGAATCTGGTATGATGTGGTATGATAAAAGCTATAGAAGTAACTCTCCTGTATTTAACTTTTGTATGAACTCTGGCTTGTCGATATTTCAACAGGTATTTAAAACCCAAGATTGGATCAAAATTCGACATTAATGTTCCAGATTAAAATATACAATTAATATTATAATATGTAATAGCTTCTTTTTGAAAGAACATTTTAATATCTTGCTAAGCAAAGAAGAAAGTGTTAAGACAAAGCAGAAAAGAACAATTAGCTTCTAGCTTACAGAAAGATTAATTTCTATAAAAATTGTAAGAATTATAAAAATTACTAATTTGTTAATAAAAAAATACTAATTTGTTAATAAAAGTCCATGGAAGTGGTTTGTTACGCAAAAGATCAGCAATATTTTACATAAAATAGAAAGAAACAGAATAAGTAGTAAGCTTAAGAGAAATAGGTTCTATACAAATTGTAAATTCATTAGGTCTTAAAGGTTCAAGACACAGCTTAAATAAAGATTAGTAAATATACACTGTGTGTGTGCGTTCGTGTGTGTGTGTGTGTGTGTGTGTGTATGTGTGTGTGTGTGTGTAGTTTCATGTCTTCTGCTACTGCTAGTTCTGAAACACGAGAAACTTGCATTTCTCAACCAGATTGCAATGTTAGCATTCTATCAGTATCAGGTGTGCTTCTTGGTGTGGTAAACCTCGTAATCTCTGATACATACTGTAACAGGAAAATGTACAGCTAACCAGATAGATACTACTGGGCTACAATTTTTATCATCTTTTCTATCAACATTGACCAGGACTGGGGTATATTACCATTTCTATTATCCCTGCATTTCCCAAGCACAAACGTATGCTTTCTATAACAGACTGTAACTACTATGAGTCTTCAATTTTCACATTATTTGAATTTTCCAGTATCTGTATAAAATATGTAGTTTTTAAAAAGTCAAAGTATCTTATATGAAATTAAGCATTTCAATCATTTGAAGCATATAAGCATTAATAATTTGAATTTACATATCTACATACACAAAATGTTTGTATGCTTCTCTAAAAGCCACTTGAAAAATATGCAAAAAAAATCATGTTAAAAATCTAATTCCCAAGAAGGGGTAGGAAAAATGAAGAATAAATCAATGTACAAAATCTTAGCAGAGATCTGAAAATTAAAAAAAGATAAATACAGGAGACAGAGTGATAGCTCACCAAGGAAAACTAGACACATAAACTGTATTTATACAGTTGGTGTCAGAAAATCTAATGCAAAAAACAAAGATTTTTCTTCCATGCCCAAAATAAAAGCTAGATTGAAAAATACTACCTGCTCAGTGCAAATGGAAAAAGTATAATCAATAATGAAAAAAAGACAGAGCTACTCATCTCCTATTTTGGCTGAGTTTTGCCTAAAAGTAATCACTCAAAATTAGCACATAGTTGTAAAAAAAAATCCCTTAGAATGTAATATAACTATTAGAAAGCTAACACAATAGAAGACAGAATAAGTTTTCTTGATAGTTATTAAAACTGGAAGAGAATGATAGAATTAAATTCAATGGAGACGCAAAGTTCTCATGCTGAAAAAAATTTAGGAATGACTATAAATTATTAAGTTTTTAAAAAGCCCCCTGTAGAATTAGATCAGATCTGGAAGTTTCAGCAAACTTACAGTTTCACAAATTCAATTTTCTTCTGGAATGCTGTATCAGATTTATTGAATGAATGTAAATTCAAATTCAACATTCCTATTCCAGCCTCGATTTGAGATGATTTTTATGCAAATCTATTTTCTAATCTTAACCAGAGTCTCTCACGCAAACATGCATATGACATGTTAGTCTTTGAACTATCAGAAATCAAATTTGTCTTTCAATGTCTCTAATAAGATGCCTGGAAAAGTTTTTCTACTTCCAGAGCTCTTTAAGACTCATATTGATTGGTGTGCCCTACTATTAGCAAAGCTGTTCAGGTTGCATTCCAGTCGGATGGGAAGTTGCCAGAATAGTTCCCCTACATAAAAAGGGGGACAAAGCTGACTCAAAAAACTATAGACCGATAAAACCTTATTAGAATTGTGGCTAAGATGTATGCAAAACATATGATGAGCAAAACACAAGATTGGGTAATGGAAAGGAAGTAAGTAGAGAAACAAGCTGAATTTAGACCAGAGTGCTCCACAATAGATGATTGTTTTACTTTAACATCTTTTAACAAAACAATTAACAAATGGCAAAAACCTGTTTACTGCATTTATAGATCTTAGTGCAGCTAGTGATTCTATAAATAAAAACATTTTGTGGATGAAATTGGCAGGCTTAAATATGGAGCCCAGATTCTTATTCTTGGTGCAGACGCTCTACTCAAACACCCATTTGAAAGTCTGTACAAGTGTAACTGGTTCTCTAAGAGTATACCCATCATCAGTATGCTGATGATATCAAATTATATATCTCCACCCCTAGCGAATTAAGCAATGCCATAAATATCTTATCCTGGTATATGGACGCTGTGACTGGATGAGGAACAAGAAACGTCAATTGAACCCAGGCAAAACTTTGGTTTTGGGGGCCCATTGGTTCCAGGACCATGACATCTTTGGTGTTGGATAGGGCTGTACAATCCAGGGGTCCTCATAGGATCATGAGTCCTGCTAAATGAGCATATGGCATTTGTAGCAAGAAGTCCTTTGTGCAGCTTCGTCTTGTGCAACCACTGTGCCAGTTTTGGATTGGCAGGTCCTGCTTACAGTCATTCATGCTTTAATTACCTCCAAATTGGACTATGCAGTCAACATAGACCTGATCCTGAAGAACATCTGGAAACTTCAGCTAGTACAGAATAAACCAGCATAGGCAGTTATGCACAATGCATATTATACTTCTGCTCTGTAAACTGCTCTGGCTGTGCATTTGCTTCTAGGTCCAACTCAAGGTGCTGCTTTTAATCTTTAAAACCCTTTGTGGCATGGTAGTGGGCTACCTAGGGGACATCTCCCTTGTATCAACTTGCCTCCATTAGATCTGGAAAAACAGGGCATGCTACAGATCCTATTGGCTACAAACCTACATTTGCTGAGTCTCAGGAGACATGCCTTCTCTGCTCAGGTGCCCACTTTATGGAACATCCTTCCGCTTGAAATTAAATTAACTCTATACTCCCCTTTTACGACTTGCATCCTGTAACTAACTTTGTGGTAGAGTCGGGGCAATTGGATGGAAATTAGATTAGCTCTTGATATTTGTATCACTTTTGATATTGCAAAAGGCTGGAAGGCCCAAGCCTAATAATGTAATCAGAGATTGACTTAAAGCAGAAGAAAGAAAAAAGGGACACATTTATGCAAATGAGCCAAAGTATGTCTTTGATTAAGAGAAAAAAATTAAATGTTATCTATAGCAAGCAGCAAAAAACAAGAGATGCATTCGAGAAAACTATGGGAATGCCCTATTTTTATATTTATTATATTTTTATTTTTGTCTTCCTCCATAAACCTTTAGTGGCACATATTACTTGCTCCTTAAAATTTCCCCCACAACAACACAGATTTGATTGAAAGTGTGTGGCTGTTCCAAAGTCAAACAATGAGTTTTCATGTCCAAGTGAACTAGACTTGAATCTAGGTCTCCTGGGTTGAACACCTTAACCATTATATCACCACTTTATTATTCAAAAGAAAAAGAAAAAAGTTATCAGTTTAGATAAGCTGCTTGAGAAAACCCAAAGGCCAAAACAATAACATCTGTCAATCAGCATATTTAGCATATTTAGTCATTACCATTTTCAGTTTGTTTACATTTATACCAGCCAGCTGAACCAGATCATGTTTTCAACCTTGAATAAAGGGGGGGGGGGGAGTAGAGCTAGGCAGATCATCTCCCCCATCCATGTCGTCGTCCTTCTCCAACTTTTTGTAAGATGAAGCTTTTCAATTAAATACAGCCCATCTTAATAAACTGCCTTTACACATGTAATAGCTGAGGCCTTCTTGACAGTAACTATACTTACAAACTAAGAGTCGACTTTGAGCAGCCTGACCTTGAGCAAAATGAATACACTTAACTGCATGTACTTCTGGCTTATTTCACTGCAGCAGTGAAGCAGCCTCACCATCTATAGTAGTCAACAGTTTCTGATTACCACCCCCTGCCTATTTTAAGCTATCCC